GGAGGGAAGATGTCCCCCTTCTCCACCTGCCCCGCGGGAGGCCTGGCGGGTTACGCCGTGAGGAGCAAAGGGCAGGGCCGGCCGTGAGCAGGCGGGCGAGGGCAGCCGAGCTGGTGTGTGGCCAGTCGGAGGTCGTTAATTACTGCAGGAGAATGGGGAGCAGGTGAGAAAAGGGAATTAGACGGTCTCCTACAAAAAACAACAACAGCAAACAAAACACACCACAAAACCAAAACCCAAAGGTCGTGCTGCTGTGGCTGAATACTGAACTCCTAGAGATGCACGGACGGAAGTACTTGGGGCAGCGGCTGGTCCTGAAGGCAGAGGGTGGGTCCTGAGGGCATGGCAAGGCAGGCAGTGGTGCTGAGGAGAGACCTCGTGAAAATCAGGTCATTGGCTTCCCTGGAGGTCCCTACGTCTTGCCGGACAAATCCCCTTTGTTTGCAGGCTGTCGTTTTGCTGTATATTTTGACATAATGATAACTACTCATTTATACGGTTCCTTCCTTTCAGGGGATTCCAGAATTGCCTCTCGTGTGGCATACGGGGGCCTGTCACTGCAGTGTGGTGGCTGCAGCTGTTTAAAAACACTCAACAACACTCCAGATGAGCAGTGGGGGATAGGGAACCATCAGCACACATCGTTTTCTCCCTTGTTGCCAGAGCCTGACTACTCTGACTTATCCGGACTGCCTCAAAAACGTGAGGAGTGTCACCTTTCAGGCACAGCAGAGCTCTCTGCCTTGAACATACGAGTCGTATTTGGGGAACTCAGAAGCAGTGAAACAGCTGCCAAGAAGCTAAGGACCACCACCAACACTGTTCCATCTGCTGGTGTGCCTCTGTGACCTGTCCTTTCTTACAGCAGCGTGCACCAGCCTGCGTATTCAAAACACAACAAAAATGCAAACTATACCCTTTCCATGTCAAAACCCTCTGCTGAACACACACTTTTGCCTCGAGGGAGAGGACAAGAGAATGAATCATATATGACAGATGTCAGTCACATCACTTAATGCCTCACTGGAAGGCACTGGGATACTACTGCGATGTGGGCAATGTACGAGGCAGAACAGAGCAAACCTGGAAGAGGAATTGAGACAGAAAGATCAAACCTAGCCAAGCTGGAATGTCACCAGGGTGCTGGAGTGCAGAGCCTCTGCACTGGAAAATGGTCCTGGGGATATATAGTAACTGTGGACATTTTCTCTGTTAGCTGACTGAAGTCAGGGAATGACTGAAGGTTTTCATTGAAAGGAATGCACTTAGGGACAGTATGTTAAGAAAAACTCAAAAGGACCAGAGGAAGACAAAGGACCCCTACCAGGACTCTGTAAATCAGCACCAGTGCCTTCAAGGTGTCACTCCTTTCCTTTCTGTCTCCCCAAATACATTTCCAAGGTTGGTGGTGATTTCGTGCTGCTTCTTCAGAGACATTGAGAGAAACTTCGTCATGCAGTTTAGGGACTTACCTGTTGGAAATTTTCTCAGAGCCCACGTATAGGGCACTCCTCATGAGTCCAGCCCGAGTGCCCAGAAACGCCATCTCAACACCTGCCTCAGTCTCCCTGTGGAACAGAAACACACAAGCACAAGCAAACAGTTCTCAGAAGAACAGCCATCTCCCTGCCCCAGGGTGAGGGCCTTCTAAACTAGAAGCCACGGTCCCAAGTTCATTTGCAATACAACCCGTTTACACCAGGAGTGACACTGGCTCCTCCCTGCTCATTGCAACCCATTGGTACTGGGTAACAATTGGCAGGTTTAGACCTGTGCCTAGATTCACACCTTTGCAATTTGCTCATTTGGTTCACTTCTAAGCAGACCATAGTCTCCTCTCCCCTGCTAGCCCTGCTCCAGACTGCCCGCATGAGGCTGAAGTGAGGGAGAGGGACTGCAGAGAATGGCTGTCTCAGGCACACACAGGATGGGCAGGGTAGCAGACTGACTCTGAAGCAGTAGACTGATTTGGATGTCTTGCTGGAGGAATCAAGGGCACAGATGGTACAGCTACATGGTGGAGAGCCTGCTGCAGCGTGGTGGCCTTAAAGTGAGGAGTGTGCGTTGGTACAGCCATTTAAAGGTATGCTGATAATCGGGTGTCCTAGTATGACTGCCGCTGGCTCAAGCCCTGTTAGTGGTAGGGGTACTGGTAACTGAAACAGGGACGGGAGTCCCATGGCCACACATCTGCGTAAGTAGCATGTTGTCTGCTGAAAGTAGATCTATGTGACATGATACTAGATACTACAAGCAACAGGTGCCTCACTGCAAATAATAAAGTAGAAGGTTGTTTACTGAAGCCAGCCTGTCCACTCCCTTCCTGAGGCTCGGTCTGAAGCCATCACCAACAGCGACAAGATCAAACTCCCTTTTCTTCACTGCTGGAAAGGGAGCAAATTGCTTGCCACCTGGGATGGAACTTCTGCTACAGTCATATAGGAAGTTGAGTGAAACCATGCTGCTGCTGTTCAAAGGGATAACTGATGCATGGGGAAATAACTCGTAACAACTTTAAACTGAAATGGTCTCAGGTGCCCTGAGATATCAACTAAAGAGACAAATGCAGTACATCTGAGCTAGCTGCTGCAAAGAACTGGTGCTGAACACCTCTTGCAGTGACACATCTGGACATCTGGATCACTACTGTCCTCCAGTGATATTCAGATAAACTCACCAAACTAAAGGCTCCCCTGAAAGGCCTAACCAGCTGGAGTCCACTTCTGAGAGACACTCTTGAGTTATTTCTAAAGCTATTGAACTATTTCTATCAGCTTTTTGAGCTATTTCTAAAGTTTCTTATATGCTGTGCAAGGGTCTGTGACCGTTTCAGGCACTGCATAAGCCCATAGCATCTGGAGATGCATCTTCAATGGTGTTTTGCTCATATTTATTTCTGATACACTCACATGGACATATTGAGGGCTAGTGTTGTCCAGTAGGCCTCCATGGGTGCAGTGACCACTGCATCAAACAGCACTTCCTGGACCAACTCCTCATCACCTAAGAAGAAGAGAGAATGAGAATCAGGAGAGAAAGACATGTCCCTCCCTAGATGTCTTAGAGAGTTCCTTATTATGCAGCATCTGCCTGGCCCAGGGCAGTGAAGCAACATGGCATAAAAAGAAGCCTTCCCTTGCGGGGCTGAGAACAGGACCTACCACCCTGGATGGTGGAGAGCACAAGAACAGATGTTGCAGCGAAGATCATCAGACTGGTTCTCCTGCAAACTCAGTGGAAGGGTTTGGGTTTGAAAGTGTGGGCAAGAGAGAGGCCTTCGGATGAAGTTATTCATCAGGCCTTCGCTCCAACCTTCTCCTTGATCGAACAGGCTGTCCACAACCATTGCCTCAAATCCTTGCTTTGACCTTTCTTACGGATGCCCTGTAGAAGGACACCAGACACCCCATTCCACTCAAGAAGCTTCTTCAAAGACCCTAGTGACTTCTTCATGGCTTCTACTCTGTCCTTGTGTTCATTGGCTTCTCTGTTACCCTTCTGTCCTTCCTGTAAATTTCACAAAACGCCATCCTGTCCTGGTTTCCCCGAGATGCTCAAGCCAGTCTAGGCTACCAGTCTAGTCCAGCCTGGATTGGGACCGAGAGGTGTTTAGGAAGGTTTGAATGTGCCGTGTGCTAAATGGCATACTCTAAGATCCCATTTATTTGACCTTCTTCATTTCTGTATTGCCCTGGCTGCATTCGTTTCCTGCTGTGAGAATGTGATGGCTGTCATATTGCAGATATGTTGTAGTGCTGTTGTAGATGGAGCCACTCTGCCCGCCCCCATTTCAGTGTTTCTGCCTCCACTTACGGGGTTGAGCTCCAAGGTCTCCCCTAATATTTTCTCCCAAGTTCTTCCAACTTTCTTTCTCCTTTCTTTGTCAGAATCCATTTCGCCATCCTTGCTGTCATTCAGACCTCAAAACTAGAGCTCACCAGCAGCTCTTTCCC